CATGAACATAACCCTCCTCGTCTACAAGGAGTGACATGACATACTCTCCTCATCTACAGGGAGTAATGGTGACCGCGTCGGACACAAATCATGACATACATATCATGGGGTTTCCTCACTGTGGGAAACACAATACTGCGTGCTCTGTAAGCAATCGTCCAGTACCTCATACGTATCATGACCCTTAATCTACAAGGTGCTCTTCGTCTACAAGGAGTTAGGTAACCGTGTGCGAATACTTAAGCAAGGACAGTTATTCTTATTAACTTGATATCTTATACGTGCTTGCTTGAAACGGTCTCTCACAAGATGGAGAGTCATACTTAAGTTTACACTTGCTTACATAACTTGAGAAGTTCGAGCTTACTTAAGTTGATCTCCCACACAATGGGAAGAGCTAAACTTATTAACTTGCACTTGATTGGTTTGAAATTGAACTTGTATAAACTTGACTAAAAACATAGCTTACTAATGCATCATGATGATTTGCATAAAGTAAAGGCTGAGCATAACCAAATTAACTTAACATGGAAACTAGGGCTGATAATCGGTTGGCGGTTAATCGGTTGAACCAAAAACCAAACTGAAAATCGCGGTTATCAGCCTGACCGAAAACCGATATCTTTGCGTCGGTGTTGGTGTCGGTGGGCTGATTCTGGGCTTTATGCTAACCGTCAGTTGTCGGTTTCTAACCGAGATCAAACTCGGTGCACCGCTGCAACCGACAAACCTCTCATCTCCCTCTCCTCACCCCGCATCGGCACTCTCTCCCTCTACAGCTCTAGCCTCCCATCAGGCCACCACCACCGCCCTCCACATCCCCAATTTCCCCTGCCCGACTTCGCGATCCTTCTCTCCGAATACTCACTCCTCTGTTGTCGATTCCCACTCCTCCTCCCATTTTGAGTTTCGAAGCTTTGCCCAGCAAATCCCAATTGACAGAGCGGAGTTGGGGTTTGAGTTGGGGTGACGAGCGGACGACGGACAGAGGGAGTAGGGACGAGGACAACGATGGAGAGTGGGAGAGCTGTCGGCGGCGCCCGACGGGTGACAGACGAGACGACGCGAGGGGAGATCTGGTGGCGGCGCCTAGCGAAATAGGTTTAGGAGTCTTCTCTTCTTTCGCCTGGAGAAATGAAAGTCTAATGGGAGAGGAGGACCGGAGGAACCCTAAATCCCAAAAAAATATACCCGCTACCACACCATCTCCGATTTCTCTAGAGTTCGAACCCTGTCCGTCGGCGCTGCAGCCGTCGTCATCGCCCTGTTGTCGTCGTCGCCCGCCTGCCAGTCCTCCTGTCGTGGTGGGATCTTCCTCCAGTTTCCTTCTCCGGCAGACAACACATACTAGTGGCCAGTCCTTCTCGATGGCAGGGAAGAGGACGAGGAGAAGAAGACAGGCCCTGCGGTCTCGGCAAACCGCATCCAAAAACCGAAACCGCCGGTTGCGGTTGGCGGTTAACCGAAGACCCCATCGGTCTCGGCTTCAGTTGGCGCTGATGGGCGATTCTCTGTCTCGGCTAACCGATGGTGCGGTCCGTTTAAACCGAAACCGTACTGACTAACAGCCCTAATGGAAACATATAAGGAATGATTGAAACATAAAACGAGAACCGTAGTGTATAACATGAACTTAAATATATAGACTGATAACAAAAACTATTCTAAAACCCATTTAACCACGCACCTCAATAATCAGTCGATGAATCTCAAGCATTGTTAAGGTGGATCTCCCCTGCCGCCACTTCTCATTGGACTACCATTCCATGTTCCCATACTACTGCTGATGCTAACCCAACCCTAGAAGTCATTTTAACCTCAATAACATCCAGCAGGAATCGACTGATACCATATATAGGCTTTTCCTGCTCGCACTCCTCCAGTCCATCCCCTCCATCGTTGTGGTAACCCTCGTGGAGATTCAATCACCATTGCCATCATTGTTACTTAGGTCGTTCGAGGATTTGACATTGCGTGCGCGTAATGGTAGTTGGGTTCGTGATGCATGAAGTGAGGGATGAGATTGGAGGAATTTCGGCGCCGCTCTTGCGCGAGGAGAAAAGAAGAACGATGTGCATAGGGTTTCTTTCGGCGCTCCCACCAGGATTAGTTTTGGGTTGGGTTTTTGCCTAATTAATTAAGATAATAATTAGGCTATTTTCAATACATGAAGGGTATTTTAGGATTTGTCACCAAAATTTATCGGTCGGGTCTAAGAGCATCCACATTGATATTGCATTCTCAATTGCAAAATGACATGACATAGGTGTTTTTTTTTTATAATCAGGCCCTGCATTAAAATGAATAAATTAAGAGCGGGCTATGTCAGCCTCCAACAAATCCCAGATTGGGCTGGGAGGGCATTCGGTCCAAACAAAGGGATGGTTCCATCTAGGAGCTAAATGGGCCAAACAATGGGCCACTGAGTTTTTAACTCTATTGACATAATTCCATTCGACTTTCTTCCCCGATAGCGAGCCATTGACTTCAGCCAGCCATTTTACTTCATTGATCCAGATCTCCAGCTCAGTGCGGTCGCTCTTCCCTTCCTTCAACTGATTTACCAGATTCAGGCAATCACTCTCAACAATAAGGGGACTCCATCCTCTTCGATTGGCCTCTCGAAGACACAAGGCAAAAGCTCTAGTCTCCGCCTCAATCGCTCTACAGAGACCTTTTTCTTTCCAAGCGATGCCTCCCAGGAAGTTCCCATTCCAGTCTCGAACAACACCACCCAAACCAATTCCATCAGGCTTCAGAATCCCAGCATCGCAGTTGAGCTTGAAAGTACCCGCCGGCGGTTTTTCCCAACACTGGTCGACCACTCTCTGGCGAGCGCCAGAACCCTGCATGTCCTGAGCTTCAAGGTAATCTGTAATCCAAACGATAGCTTTTGGAACAATTTCTTCTTCTTCGAGTTTGTTGTTGTTGAACATGTGGCTGCACCTTTCTTTCCAAATAAACCAAAGGATTGCACAGAACCTTTGCAGATCAGAGACTTCGGTGGATTCAAAGATTCGAAAGAACCAGTCACTTCCAGAGAGCCCCTCCCCTTGTTGGAAGGTTTCGCGATCCAGCGATGGCTGCCACAGGCGGCGGGTCCAGGCACAGTCTCGCAAGCAGTGCAGTTGGGTCTCGGGAAGGCCACAGAAGGGGCAGTCAGTGGAGGCATCTTCCAAACGTTTGGCAATGTTCTTCCCAACCGGTAAGATATCCTTGCTGATTTTCCAAAGAAAGTACTTGATTTTTGGCTGAATAGGTAGATTCCATATCTTCTTCCAGTATGCCCTAACTTTCTGGGTTTCACAATCATCGATTGGGGGCCTTGGGTATTTCTTTCGCATGAGGTCTCTGTATGCTGACTTAACCGTGTAATCACCATTATCAGTCTTGGTCCAGAGTCTAGTATCTTCTCTGGGTGGGGGTCTTAGGGGAATCTGTCTGATCAAGAGTTTATCTCGATCAGATAGCAGATGTTCGATTTCGGTCAGATCCCAGCCACCTTCTTCCTGATTAATCAAATGGCTAACTCTCATGTTAGGGTCCCAGTCACCTGTCTGTGAGGTGGGAGTGAGAGTTTTAACATCAGGGATCCACCAGTCGTTCCACACACTCACACTTTCACCATTCCCCACTCTCCATCTGAAGCCATCAATGATCTCATCCTTTGCTCTAACTATACTGCGCCACACATAGCTGGGATTGCTCCCCAACTTAGCATTAAGGATTTCCCCCTTGGGGAAGTACCTCGCTTTAAGAATTCTTGAGAGAAGTGCCTCAGGTCTTGTTAGGATATTCCAAATCTGTTTCCCCAGCATTGCCGTGTTGACAATTTCCAGATTCTTGAAACCTAGGCCACCTTCTTCCTCAGGCAAACAGAGATCATCCCATTTTAGCCAGTGGATCCTTCGTTCTTCATGCTTCTGGCCCCACCAAAAGCGGGCTATCATACCCTGAATGTCATGCAGAATCCCCTCAGGAATTCGAAAAACCATCATGGGGTAGATGAGTTGAGCTTGGGCAACAGATTTGATGAGTACTTCTTTTCCAGCAGTAGAGAGGGTGAGACTTTTCCAATCTTTGAGTTTCTTCCGAACCCACTCCTTTAGCTCAATGAAAACTTCTCTCTTGGATCTTCCAATCATGGTAGGAAGTCCCAAGTACTTATGGTGCTTCTCTGCTATTTTTATTCCCAGAGTTCCACTTATCTCTAACTTCCTGCTCCATTTAACGTTTCGGCTGAAGGAAATTTCCGACTTAGCCAGGTTGATACTTTGACCCGATTCTTTCTCATAGATCTTTAGGAGTTTCTTGATCTCATCACACTCATCAATAGATGCTCTTCCGAAAACCAGACTGTCATCTGCGAACAATAGGTGGGAGATAGTAGGGGCCCTGTGGCAAATTTTGATACCGTGGATATTCTTGTCGTTCTCAGCTTTTTCATTAGGGCAGAAAGATGTGGTTACCAATTGCAATTGCAAAACCACCAATTGCATTGATGTGGTTACCAATTGCATATTTGCAAGCTTGCAACAAATGCAATTCCATATGCAAGTAAAAAAAGTCTAAAAAGATGGGGATTTTTTTTACTTTATATTATTTTCTTTTCTCTTTTACTTAATTTTCTATAATTTAAATATAATATTTAATTACATCTGCAATTGCAAGTTAATTGCATTGATGTAGGTGAATGAAATGAACGTGACGTGGATTGCAAAAAATTTGAGTTGACAATAAAAAATATAAATGCAATTTCTTTTGTAATTGTATTGATGGAGATGCTCTTAACAATGCAATTTCTTTTGTAATTGTATTGATGGAGATGCTCTTAACGATCGGGAACCAAATCGTCAATATCCTAAAATTCAGTGATGTAATGGTGACTCAAGCCAGCATCGTCCTGCCACCAGCGAGTCGCGGAGCGCAGCGCACAACGAATATATTATTTTTAAAGAGCAACCAGGAGAGAGGAAGATTAGCTTCAACCGCCGGCAGACATGTCGAGAGCTCGAGTTTACGCTGACATCAACGTTCATCGGCCCAGAGAGTACTGGGACTACGAATCTCACACCGTTCAGTGGGGGTAAGTAAACTTTTACCATACCTCTTGAAAACCCTAATTCTCGATTCAATTGCATCATTGCTTTTTTTCCGATCCGCGATAAGTTTTCATGTTCTGGTAGCAAAACTAGGGTTACAGCTGAAATTTTCCTTTTTTTGACATTTGGTTGTGTTTTTGGGACCTCATGATCAGTGATCAGAATGACTATGAGGTTGTTCGAAAGGTTGGGAGAGGGAAATACAGCGAGGTCTTCGAAGGTGTCAATGTCACGAATAATGATAAGTGCGTTATCAAAATCCTGAAGCCTGTCAAGAAAAAGAAGGTGACTTTTTTCTTAGTGGTCTATACTCCACACCCATTGAGTCATGTTTGTGGCTGTTATAGTTACCTGCTCCTGGTCATTGCAGATAAAGAGGGAGATTAAGATACTGCAGAACCTCTGTGGAGGGCAGAACATAGTGAAGCTGCTCGATATCGTCAGAGATCATCACTCAAAAACCCCGAGCCTGATTTTTGAGTATGTGAATAGTACAGATTTTAAAGTTCTGTACCCAACATTCACGGACTATGACATTCGCTACTATATATATGAGCTTCTTAAGGTTGTTTCTATACGATAATCTCGCTTTTTTTTTTATCAGTGTGTAGAAAAGATGATGATATCTTATTTTTATATGTAACTTCCTTTTTTCTTGGTAAGTTCATGTGTAAAAATTCTGCTTTAATTTTCTTGTTGTTCAGGCACTAGATTACTGCCATTCCCAGGGCATAATGCATAGAGATGTAAAACCGCACAATGTGATGATTGACCATGAGCTGCGCAAATTACGGTTGATAGACTGGGGGTTGGCGGAGTTCTACCACCCTGGCAAAGAATACAATGTCAGAGTAGCTTCTAGGTATGTGTTTTATACTTATGAAGATCTCAAGAACTGAACTATATGTTCAAGTTAATCATTAGATGGAAGTGGGTGATCATTTATTCAATAGTAGGGTATTTTGCCTTATCATTTTGATGAGACATTTCTAATCATGTGGACTCTTATGTCATCTTGGGACAGTAGGGACCATTACTCTGGCTCGATGTGTTTTAACTTCTATAATCTCTTAAATCTACTTGCAGAGATCTACTCTGCTAGTAAACTTCACAGCTTCCGGATTTTACTTTGATGTTTTATACACTTGATCTCATTTTCTTGTTATAATTTTTACCCTACAACCAGAGTTACCTTTGGATCCTGTAACTGATCCCAATTGGTATTTTCATCTAGCAACTCCTTCCAATGTTAAAATATAATGTTGGTGTCTAAGTCACTGCAAACTCTCCGTACTTCTGTTTTATCATGAAGAGTTGTTGAGGTTTACCACAACTTGCGTGTTTACCATATTGCTAGCAAAAATGAACACAACATTAGTGAAACCATGCTCCCGTCACTTTCTATTTATTTCGCAAGTTATTTCCCTCCGTCTTATATGATTCTGCTTTTTTTCCCTTTTAACTTGCATTCAGGTACTATAAGGGGCCAGAACTCCTTGTTGATTTACAGGACTATGATTATTCTCTTGACATGTGGAGTCTAGGCTGTATGTTTGCAGGCATGGTGAGAATTCTGTTGAATCTCCCCTTGCTCCTCCATCCCATAAAATTTTGATAGCGCTAGAGCCAACATTCCTAGTGTTTTTAGTAGTCATGACAACTTACCTAATCTTTGCATTGTCTTCTCGGCATGCAGATTTTTAGGAAGGAAACATTTTTTTATGGTCGCGACAACCACGACCAGCTTGTAAAAATTGCTAAGGTAAACATGATTTAGCAATGTGATCTAACAGTTTTGTACTGCCATATGGTTCTTTTGTTAACTTTTATATAACTGGTGAAAGGTAGTAAATTTGGATTGTCAAAGCTATGGAATTTGGAATTTAGGGCTTCCCATGACATGTGTGAACCAAGTGAGCAAGTCAAGTTGCATTTTTGTGTTTGTTTCAAATAGTGACACCTATGTCATATATGCTTCAGCATTGGATTTCCTTAAAGCTATGCAGAAATATTGTTATTGGTCCCAGAAGCTGTTTATTTGTTTTCTTGAAGCTGCTAAAATCCAGAAGCCAAACGTCCCACGGTGTCTTTTGCAAACCTTTGGTGGAGCAGTGTTAAGAACCTCTTGCAAAATAATGAGAGTTCTATTCAGCACAGTCTGTTTGCAGAAAGGCAGAAAATGCATTTGACCTTACCTGTACCCTTATCTGCATTTTTTTCTTCAGGTTCTTGGTACAGATGAATTATATGCATATTTAAACAAGTATAACTTGGAGCTGGATCCCCAACTTGAAACCCTTGTTGGCAGGTAGTCACGCCTTTGTTAAAAAATAGTTTATTTTATGTACTTAAAGGCCAAATATTAGCTACTAGATAGATTTGATGTAAGATGATAATCCTTTTGTTACATAGCACCGTGGATCTTGGGAAGTAAATACAACCAGAGTCTTTCGTACCCCTTTTGTTTTCTTACAAGCATGAAATGATAAGAATTGCGTAAGGGTTGATTACTACAGAGTTCTGCTGAATAACGATTCGATTCCCAAACCTTTGCAGGCACAGCAGGAAACCGTGGTCCAAATTTATCAATCCTAATAACCAACATCTGATTTCTCCGGAGGTAAGTCTTATAATTGCCCCTTGGCTCTTCAGATGGCGGATATTTTTCCAACTCTTTTCTTCAAAATTTTAAACTTCTATCAATCATCATCCTACTTGTGTTGCTGGTTAATACTTCATGAACCGACTCGTCTTTCCCATGAACAGGCCATTGATTTCCTTGAAAAGCTGCTTCGCTATGACCATCAAGACAGGGTTACAGCAAAGGAAGCAATGGTATATCAGATTGTCATTAATCCAGAACTAAGCTCAGCTAATTTCCCCCCACTCTTTTTGGATACTAGTATTGTTTCCAGTTTATACCTTTTTATAAGTTTAAATTGCCCTTTCCATTTCCAGGCTCATCCCTATTTCCATCAAGTGAGAGCAGCAGAGAACAGCCGAATGCGGACACAATAAGTTGCAGAGGAGGCCAGACCCATCCACCTCAGGCTCCCCCCCTGCCCTTGCTCTTTTCTAGTAAATTGATGCTGATCCTTGTTCCATTGTACAAAAAGCAATGATTACCAGCGCATGAACTGAAGCCTTTGTTTGAGTCTAGATTCATGAACGGTTTTTTCTTCAGTTTCTGGGGAATCTTGTGTTTGCTTGCTTCTGTCTTTTAAGTAAATTGTGGATCAATCAAAAGCATATATACTTCTTTGATAAAGCCTACCAACTTGTTGTAAACCCCTCTCTATCTCACCTACAATTGTTAAAGTTTCTGCCTTTCAACGAAAAAGGTTACCAACTCAGTCATTGATCCTTATCTCATGTCGCCCGAAATAGGCATCTCCATTTCCAAGTAATGGCAAAAGTTGGATTCTCCGAATCCAACTTGAGCCACCGCCCAGTCTAAAGTTCATCTTTTTTTCCCCTCTCCACCAGCTGCAATCTGCTGTTCTTTTCCTTGAGAAACAACGGGAGAGTAGATGGGTGGCCATGTTTATTTTCGCAGTGGCCAATAAACATCTGCTTCATTCATATTTCATCGGTGGACGAACTGATCATACATGCTAATAGATAAGCTAATCTCTCTCTCTCTCTCTGCAAGTATTTTCAACTTGCAGGTTTGTTGTTGTTGTTCTATCTCCATTACTTGGAAGAGAGATGGGGGAAACAAGTGGAGACATCAGACTTAGGATGCTTGGCTTCAGCATGCTCCCGACACTTGGCCTCCGACGTCGTGCATATAAACGTCTGCATGCACACTTTACACTATTCCCCGCCACCGTCGCCGCCGTCCCGGTAGAACAGAAGACCAAAACGTATTAGTGACATCAAAAGAAAGCGGTATGAAAGCCAGCAGCAAGAACACCAAGCTAATAGGCAAGGAAGGATACCTGGATGGTCATGGCCTTCTTGTTGGACTGAAGCTGGCTTCCTTCACCCGCGCGCCACCACAATATACAGAGAATTTGCATGTCAATAAATTCGGCGGACAACTGAACTAGCTAGGAAGCTATATACTGAAGCGTAAGAGAGAGTTGATTGTAACGTGTACCCTTATTAGCGGCCTTCTGAAGCTTCTCCAGGTTTCTCTCCCGAGCTGTCTTGGATTTCTGCCCATTCCCTCCTCCCATCCCCTCCTCTGTTAATGGTGAGGCGTTTTGTGAAGGCAGGCACAGGTGACTGGTGAAGCCTTTAGTGTACTTATATAGACAACAATGGAGGAGAAGGGCAGAAGGAAGGAGAAAAGATGCAAAACTAAGTGGAAGCCAGTTAAGCTGGGATGGGGCTACTGGGCACTGGCTGGTTACTGGTTACTCCTGTCAAAGCCAACCGACCAACCCACCAGCTAGCCCAACCGACCATTTATAGGGACTCAACTAAAAATTGGTACATTGTCCATTTTTAACCCATACTATACTATATTGGCGAGGAGATGGAAATAGGTTGGGGAAAGATGTATTTGGCGAGGAGATGGAAATAGGTTGGGGAAAGATGTATGTGGTTAGTAAAATACGGTACGGGAAATACGTACGGGTATTTTACTTCGTTTCTAAACTAATGTTACGTTTAATAGTACGTTAATAGTCATAAATATATAAAATTAATTATTTTTAAAAATAAAGAAATATATAATAATTAATATAGTTAATAATTTAATTCATTAAATACGGATATCAAACGTGTTATACGGGTTTTATACGTGTTTAGTACGGGAGCCGTCAAATGAACGGAAACAAATGAAACGGCTTGACAATAATACGGATACGGAAGTTTTAAACGGATAAAGTACGTACGGGTACATATACATGTACTAAACGGAGTATTTACTTACATTCCAAACCATATAAATTGAAGGAGTTGTAATATAGATTATGAACCAAATCAAATACTACGCGATGAGACAATTTTTGTACAAAAATTTCATTTGGTACAGTATGGTCAGATAAATCATTCCGTATAAAAATTGAACCATTTGTTTGGTCCGTCATACTAAAAATCAACGGAGAAAATAACTTTGTTTTTGTATGAAAATCTACATTCCAACATGTACGCATAAATTAGATACATTAAATCCAAATAAACAAACATCATAAACACTATTAAACGTAATGCTATATGGAAATGCAGTCGTCTCTGCTTTCTAATAGAGTGTGGTCTGTAGAGGAAAGAAGATACGAGATTTTCACAAATAGAGTAATTGAGACTTGGGTCTCGTTGGGCAGTGAGGTTAGGTCCATAGTATGTACCATACTAAACCAAGAGAACAAAACATTTCATAAGTGGATAAAAACCCAGTGAGGTTAGGTCCATAGTATGTACCATACTAAACCAAGAGAACAAAACATTTCATAAGTGGATAAAAACTCAAACTATTTTTAACTCTACAGTCCAAACTAAACTACACAATTAGGTTTGATCTATCATTTTCCAAACAGCCATGTCTATTTTTCCCAACCCCATAAAGACCATTGTATAGCCCCCCCAATTCTCCATGACACATACATAACTAAAACAAGAAATGCAGTGGGGATATATGATGATCAGATCGAGTCTGTCTGGTTCACTTCCCCAACTTGTGTTTTATGATAAGGTTGGAGTACCTTTTCGCCACAATACAAGACAACAATTCAGTGGTTTAGATTCAATTACCTTCCCTTCATTCCCATCACTCACACAAACTAGAGAATGCACGTAATGTGGAAAGAATATTATATTACGGGTTCGTTTGGAAGTTGCGATAGTTTTGTTGAGATTGTCATTATGCATGTATTGTTTACAATGCATCATTTTTTTGTTTTTTTAGCAGAAACAATACATGGATTGTTTCTGTGATGTGACAGAAACTATCACTCATTTTGAGTGATTGTTATATCTCAACTTTTAGTTGTGATTGTTGAGATAGTTGAGTTGAGATTGTTTTATTTCAGCTTTTAGCTGATGCGACATACACAATCACACATACCAAACGTTGTATTCTAAAATGCATCAAATTCGACAATACATGTATAATATTATACATGCATTCTCAACAATACATCTATTTAACAATCGCAACTTCCAAACGACCTCTACATGTTTTGTAGTGTTACTCTGCCAGACCGTCACACAGTTGAAGTTCTTAAACAAGGATGATGGTACACATGTTTTGTAGCATACTTGCAAGTATTCCAACCAAAAGATAGGGGCATTGTCCGTTGTGGAGGTTGATTCTCTTTGTCATGTCCTTGGTCTTTTTTGGATGAAAATTGGAACGATTGTCTTGCGATTTACATCTAAATGAACATTCGATGTGAATTGAGACATTATGTCTACATGACTACATGGCATACTTGTATATGAGTATAAGCATCTAAAGCAACCAATTCAGAATGTCAATGACCCAAGGAAAAAAAACTATTTCGGAAAATGTAGGGGCAAATCTCCAAAATTGTTTGAAAATGTTGATGGTCTGTATTTGTCAGCAGATTTAGTTCGTAGCCCAAAGAGGAAGAAAGAATCCGACATAACCTCCAATCCAAATCACTAGTGATTAGATGCCGATGCATTCTTCACCTATCTCTAGTCATTAAAATATAAACTACTAATAATTGCTAAGGATATCCTTATCGCCTCCCTTCAATTATCAACCATTTTTAATGCCACCCTCTGTCTTCAGGTTTAGGATAGGATAGAATGTATAATTATTGGCTATACATTCTTTTTTATGAATAAGATAATTCTCATTTCTTCAAAAGTAGGGCAGGCATTTCGGTTGCCTGTTAGCGGGTAACCATCGGTTATAACAGGAAATCGACCGGTTACCAGCTAACCAAAAACCGACCGGTTAGCTTGATGGTCGGTGGTTGGCTGGGAAAAGGAAGGGGTCGGTTGACCGAGAAACCGACGGTGATTAACCACGGTTATCCGACTAACCGGCCCCAACCGAGACCCACTTAAATCTTAACCTTCCCCAAAATCTGTCCATCATCTCCACCTCCACTCTCCTCCTCATACCCTAGATCTCAAGTCTCAACAATACTCTCTCCCCTTTGTCCACCTCGCCTCCGTTGCACCTCCGTCCACCTCACCTCCGCCGCCGCGTCGCCGTCCACCTCGCCTCTGCAGCCCCGCCTCTCCTTGCACTTTGCCCTCCGCCTGCTTCAACTCGCGGTAAGCGTCGGGCCGTACGCCTCTGCCTCCGCCTCCGCCTACGCATCGCCCCCCGTCGATCTCTGCATCTCCACCCTCCGACCCCGACGACGACCCCAGCCCTCCGCTCCGCCGTTCGCGTGCGCTGACCCCAACCCTCCTCCTCGAATCGCCAACAGCGCCGGCTCGACCTCCGCCTCCACTCGACACCGCCGCGCCTCTGCTTCTGCTCCGTGTGGTGTCCAGATCTGAAATGGAAGAAGGAAGGAGGGAGAAGGAAGGAGTGGTGGCCTGGTGCTTCTCCTCCGCGACCGGCCGCCGTGGTGGTGTCTGTACCTGAAATGAAGGAAGGAAGGAGTGGTTGGGTGTTGTCTGTTGTGGGTTTGAAATGGAGGAAGGAGAGAGAAGGAAGAAGTGGTCTGTGTTATCTGGTGGGTCTTTTTGGAGAGGAAGGAAGGAGAGAGAAGGAGGAAGAAGATAAGGATTTAGTGGTAGAGAATTTTTCGTTTGTTGTTTTTTTAATATATATTTTTTTAGAGAAGGGAATGTTTTTGGGTATGCGGATAACCGAACCAAAACCAATAACTGACCGGTCGGTGGTCGGCTAGCCATGGTGTCCCTCATGGTCGTTGGTCGGCAATAGGAGGTGGTTGCTCAATTTAACCGATAACCGAGAAATCGGTTTTTGGTTAAACCAAAACCGACCGACTGCCACCCCTACTCAAAAGGAAGTGTTTTTTGCAACAAAGCTTGCCGACAAGGTCATCCTCTTCAAGGAGGTAAACTCAATTGTTATTTACAAACTCATCTAGACACTACTAGTTTAATCCAAACATAGTGAAGCAAACAAAGTTACTCATACCCAATACCTCATCAGCTCATTTTCATTCAACAAGACTACAACTTCAGACTTTATCGACTTTAATAAGACTGGTTGATCTTTTGCTCACCCTGCATACATTATGTTACACCGCTCTCTCCATATGTGACTCGTTAAGGATTGCGAGATAAGGTTACCCATTGCTGCTTCTTTAGTCTTTTCTTCCTGTAGTTCACAACCCACATCAGCTCATCGTCCTAACGCAACACAGGGTATTCTTACCAAACAAAACCTGAAATAAGGACATTCAACAAATAAATGGTCTTTGTAATCGCATCCATTGATACATATTTCACAACACAAATGGCCTGAAAACACCATTTTCTCATATTTTTTCTTCATTTGTATCCTTCCTCTTACCATCGGCCAAACTAAAAATCTATTCCGAGAAATAGTCTTTCCCTTCTAGAGCAGTCTATGCCACTACACTTTTTATTGTTAAGGTCTAATAAGATCTCAAATCTATTTGATGGAGTACTTCTTCACATGTTGCAAATTTCATTACAACTCACCATTATGCATAGTAAACATTTTATGAACCAGATTTCTTATTTTAAGATATTCTTCCAGTTCCATGATCCAATTTTACTTGAAAAGCTCCAAATATCGGAAAAAATCCAAAACTACCACTGTTTAAAAAAATTACAAAAATACCACACATTCCCAACAATTTCCAAAAAGATCACCGTTTATTAAAAACCGTGCCTCTAATGGGCGGGTAATATATAAAGTGCTTCACTAGGCAGCGGTTTACATCAGAAACGCCTGGTCAACAGGCTGTTTTCCATTTCAGGTAAAACCGCTCCCCGAAGGCGCGGTTTATATGGCTTCCCTACCACAAAACGCTTCCTCACGAAGCGTTTATATGTCGGCTTGGTAAACCGCACCACCAGGGGTCGTAGAAAGCACTTGGTCGGGGATCGTAGTGAAAACTTGACCGAGAATCCTACTCAGTACTCGACCCTGCACGCTGCACACCTCCAATGGAGTAGGCACCTTCCACGCCTCAATCGGCTTGATCTCCGGCACGTGAGGTCGATCCCTTGTAGCCTTGTTTGGCCTTCTATGCACCGGCGGAAGCACGTGGGGGACATCCTCCGTCACCGGCCGCGGTCTCACTGGGGGAACTGGTGGGTATCTGTGATGGTCACGTCCGCGCGCTCTCATACAGCCAAGGAGACTGTTCGCTATCCTTCGAATGAGCCCCACCTCTCGACCCGCAGCCGAATGATCTGCAATACGACCGAGGTCGTGTATACGCTCGATGCCATCAACCTAAATTGAAGAAAATGACAACGTGAGCCATTTAAAAAGTAATGCACCGCATGCCCAAATAAATAAAAACTGAATTACTTACCAAAGCTCCGTCCGCCACACCTTCGAGGGTCATGTAACGAACAAATTGTCTTCGGTATGTTTCCATGTATGGGTCATGGTAGCCCATCCGCCCCACATCT